ATAAATTATTAATTATAAAAGTGAAGATCTGCTCTGTAAATTTTCACCTAGTGCACAATCAAAAGTTTAAAATACAATTTTAAAATTTCTAAAAAAAAATCAAAATACTACAAACAAGTGTGAGGACGTATGGAACTTTTACATCTGTCCTCCTTTCATCCTGAACATCTAGGAAGTCTGAAGAGACATTCTATCTGTGTGGTCAACATGTGCCAAAGCTTCCAATTGGAGCTCACATCTCATGAACAATGTTAGAAGGAACTCCTATGTGTATGAGTATGGTAGCACCATTAGGTAGACCAAGGAACTCGTTGCTGATTAACTAAATCTACTCAGAGGAGAACAAGTGAATGTGGAAAGATCTATTGTTAGAGCTCCCATCTCATTCAACACCAAGTAACCCTAATGAGGAGAAACCTTCTAAATATAATGGATGTATAAAGGTTCATTCATGAGTTCCAACTCACTGACATACAGAGGACCCCTACTGGGGAGAAACCTAACTGATGTAATGAAAGAGGAAATGCCTTTCCTTGTGGCAACCTAAGAACTTTGTAATACAACTCATAATCAGATTGTGTGCTTCTCACGGATAGAGATCATCTCTTCCTCTTTCTATCCCAGCCCTTTCACTGGATGATTTACGCAAAATCATTCTCCAAGCTTCTTGATTCATTTTTCACTGTTCTAATCCAAACAGGTTGGGTAGATTGGGAAAGGAAAATGAGAAGAAGGGTCTAGATTAGAGTTTGAAGACAAGTAAGCTGGCAAAAACAATTCCTTTGCTCTGGGGCCCATTCTAACTCATAGGACTTTATAGGACTGAGTAGAAGCACCCCACAGGCTCCCCAAGGTGAAATTTTTACATATTCAGACTGCCATACATATTTTCCAGCAGGGCAGCTGGTGAGTTTGAACCACCAACTTTTGGTTTTTCGTCCAGTGCTTAACCAATGCACCACAAAGGCTTCTTCAGAGTTAAGGCTTACGATGTGGACAGCAAAAGCCTAACTGGAAAACATTCCTCCTGTTCATCTATGCCATCACAAGCTATAAAAGCCAGCTCATATCCTACAGATGTTCTCCTTGAAGTGCTCCTCTATTTAACTGTGTATACACTGCCTTATAAATGATTTGAACATAACATACGTATCTACTTCCATGCTAACGTATTGTATCCTCTGGCAAGCACGATGTCGCTCTCTGTTGGAATACAGATAACCGCTTGCTCATGTAGGTTAAAGATATACATCTATATGTATAATTTTTGTACTGGACTCTCAAACAATACTTTGTATGTGAAATAAAACACCCTAAATATAAAACAACGGAAGCAGAGTGGTTTGGGATTAAGAAAAAAGTACTAAGCCTCTCCTTCCAATCTCCTTTCACTCATGGTCTCGTCTCTGAACCTGTGGTACCTGAACAAGTCCTCCAAAATTTGAGTGAGCAGATTGTGACAACTACTGCTACAGATTCATTTCTTGCCTAATGCAGGATTTCCTAGTTCAATATCCATGACAGAAGGTGACACGATCCCTGATTAACGGATTTTTTACAACCGGAGTTCATTACTAAACAAGGAGCTTCAGTCATTACTACAAAATCTCAAATTGATTTCCTCAGCCAGGGTTTGTGTTGGTTTAGAGATTAGTTTAGAATTATGTTGATAGGTAAGTTAAGAATATTTCCTTTCCTCTCAGCTACTACTGATTTCGGATTTCTCAAAAATAATGATATTCAAACTGAACCTTCAATATACATTAAGATTATATTTTACTAAGTTGATAAATTGAAAACATCAAGGTATTTCCCACTGTTAGTATTGATTTATCTCTTCATTATCAAGCTGAACACCCCGATAGCCTCAGGACAGCCGTTAGACACTTAACAATTTTAAGAATGTGGAAACAAAATAAGCAGCAATGGAAAGTAGCCAACAACCTACCGTGAAAACGGAAATGCAGAGAGAAACTAGGAGAGGAAATATGGGTTGTGCTGTTATTTCTACAAAGAAGAAAATATTGATTAACAAGAAGGGAAGGAGAAATCTACTGATTTTTTTTCAAAGCAACTAAACCGTTTCCAGCACTATAAAAGGTATTATATTACTTGAGTCTTTCTTAGTTCTATATTCATGCTTCCATAAAGTCTGCTGCAGGCAAGAAATAATTAAAGGGAACTATATATTTTTTTTAAAACAGAGATTTTAGCTTTTAGCTATTAACAAACTAGCATAAGCCCAATACATACTACTTAGGTATTTAAACTTCAAGCATATCATCAATGTTCAGTGAAGAAAAAAAATCAAGTTGGAGATTTAAAGCCTGCTGAAAGCTTGATTTCAAAGGAAATGTTTTCTATAAATAAATAAATTGGTGTTTAAAAATTATAAACACAGGCATGTTTTTTCTATTGCAGAATATGAAAATTAGTCATGTGCATTATATTTACTCCTTTAACAGATATTGCTGGGGACCATGCTTTCAGGGAAGGCGCTCCTTTTGCTTTACTCGTCACGATTGTTCTCGTGTTCTCTGCCTGCAGGCTTGTTCGTATTTTACATCTAATACATGGCCACTGAAGATCACATTCACCAATGCTAATCCAATGGGCAAGAAAATCAGCATTATTTTTAAGGTACAGACGTTCTCTGCGAACAATCAATCCCCTGGGCATGGCAATTGGTTTATTACTCACAAGAGGAAATTCTTGTAGCTATTTTCCGGTAGTAACACAAAGATTTCCCAATTACTGTATATTCTGTCATTTTGTAGCACTACAGTACATACCAAATATGATTGGCAATAAATCAAACATTACTGGCTTAAAGCCAGTGAACCTTCAGGGCAAGGCTTTAAAGGATATGTTTCAATCAATGAAATTGTACCATCGCCTTTGAGTGGCTGAGGGTGTTGTGAATGAGAATCAAATTTATCTGGGTCATTTCAGTTTCTCATCTTGAAAATCTTGAGAAAATAGAGGAAAAGAATACCAGTTACAGGAAAGAGAGGCTAAAGAGAAAGCTGTAAGCAAATACTAAGGTTTGCCAATCATCCAGTCAATGTAATCAGTGTTCAGCCAAATCCACAACCAGAGTTCAAAATGGTTTTGCTTGCATTTTGATTTTTCTCTCCATTCTCACTATTTAGGGAGATAATGATTAGCACATTCCTGCTTTCGCTTTGGCCTGTGTAACCTCAATAGTGGTCCTGTAACATTGCCTTTTAGGTGTGGGAGGGTGGGGCGGGGGTGATCAGTCTTGGCAGAATTTTCTGCATATAATCTGGACAACATTCAAAACCAAACTGCTTATTATTGTAAACATGTAAAACTATCCTTCTATTATGGACATAGTTCATTTCCTTCACGTGGGCTAGAAAATTGCTCCTTTATCATTTCTTATTACTATCAAAGGCTGTTGTCTCAGAAAACTTTTGAGCTGCCTTCATGAGAGAACTGGCTGATTCAAAGTCTGATGAGCCATGTCTCTGCTATTGACAGGCCCAGTGAAGAAGCTCTTGGTATTCTAACTGCATCTCGGCCCGAGCTTATGGTGGACCGAGTCATGTTTCACCTAGGGTGGAATCTCTCCTGCCCATGAGAAATTTGGATAAATCTTCAGCTACCCACCCTATAAGACTCCATCTAAAACATTGTGCATAGATAATAAATTGAAAAATTATGATCAGAGAACGGCATTCCGAGCAGCACTTTTAATCTGATGACTAAAGTTTCTGTAATTATTTAAAAGAATGTGCTCATTTTCTTTTATATTATGTGAGAGGCAGAAGTAGTCTGGCGCTAATTAGGGACAGATTGCCCCAAAAGCAAGGTACACAAAGTCTTAATGTTGCTGGTTTACTTATTTGTAGTGAACAATTTCACCAGTAGTGAACAATTCTACCACTGCAGTACAGATTAGTAAGTAACCCAATTAAACTTATGTTTACTTCACTCATTATAAACCAGTGCATACTGTGCCTACTGGCTAATTGGCTGTTGGTGCTAATAAAACAACTTTAACCACTGTAAATCTGGTCTCAAAGTATCTAAGAAAATAAGGGACATATACCATGTTTGTTTGCTGTTAATTAAATCCTGGGAGAAACCCAATCTATCTTTTTTTTTTTTTTAACAGGAAGGAGATGATCTTCGCCAAGATATGCTTGTTCTGCAGATTATTCAAGTGATGGACAACATTTGGCTGCAGGAGGGCCTGGATATGCAAATGATCGTTTATAGATGTCTTTCCACAGGGAAAGGACAAGGTCAGTATAGGTTATAAAGTAGAAATGACTTACATTATTTTTCTCACACATGGACCAAAATTTACACAGTTTTAACTTTAATTAAGCATTTTTAAAAATCCATGAGATAAACAATTTTTTCTAAAAACAAAACAAACATTAACAGAAATTTTAAGGCCCAAATTGTGTGTAAAGTACAATATACCTTTAGACATTAGTCACTTGACAATGCAAATGTTATTAACAATGACTTTGTTGTATATGTCATTGTTAGTTATCATAACTAATTCATTTATCGTTTTTGATAAATTAATAATAGATACCACTACTTGTCTATCAGTTTGTCACACTGCAGTGGCTTGTGTGGTGCTGTGAAACCAGAAGCTATGTCATTGGGATTCCAAATACAGCATGATCACCCAAAGTGAACAGATTTTAGCAGAGCTTCCCGACCAAGAACATACTACAAAGAAGGAATAGGCTGTCCATGTCTGAGGACGAGCCACCGACAACCTTTTGGATAACACTGAAACATTGCAAAATACGGAAAACCTCATGAATTGAAGCAGAACACAGCTGGAGATCTTGCCAGAAGATGAGCCCCTCAGGTCAGAAGGGACAATATGACTGAAGAAGATCTGCCTTCTCTAAGAGCGGAGCATAATGATGCAGACAGAGTAAAGCCTGAGGGAATAAAGCTTCCAGACCTTCATTTGCTGGTGGAGATTGACTTAAAATCAGAGGAGACAGCTGCAGACATTCTACTTTTGCATGCACATGAGACATTTGAAGACACCATGGCGCATCTTAGTCCTCAAAGTAACATCCATGTTCTTCAATCCTCTAAAAAGGTCTTGGCCAGCAGATTTGCCCAATGCAATGCATCTTTTGATCTCTTGACTGCAGCTTCCATAGCATTGATTGTGGAGCCAAGCAAGAGGAAATCCTTCTCAACTGCAATCTTTACTCCATTTATCACAATTTTGGTCCAGTTGTGAGAATTTGTTCTTAATGTGAGTTGTAATCCTTACTGAAGGTTGTAATCCTTGATCTTCATCGCCAAATCCTTCAAGCCCTCCTCACTTTCAACAAGAAAGTTTGTGCTATCTGCATATCACAGGTTATTAATAAACTTTCCTCCAATCCTGATGATACATTCTTCTTTATATAATCCAGCTTCTCTGCTGACTTGCTCGGCATACAGATTAAATAAATACGGTGAAAGGATTCAAGCCTGATGCACCCATATCTTAAACCATGTTGTATTCCTGTGTTCTACTTTCACAGCAAGTTCTTTTCAAAAATATATTATTTATTTGGAGTTAATACATATATCATTCCATAGATCAATCATGTCATCAGTATTGTACAATAGTTACTGCAATCAGTTTCCAAACATTCTTTTCATTCCTAGACTCTTTCACACCATCTCCCTTTTACCCCATTCCACCCCCAACCCCCTGTACCTACCCTTGAAGCACTTATTCTACTTGCTGTCCATATAGGTTCATCAATCCTGGGTGTCATATGAAGGGGTACCCTCCTCAAAATGGAAAAAAAGCTCTGCTGAGCGGAGCTTTTGTAGTACGCATTTTGCCCCTAGTTGAACATCCAGCAACTCCCTCTGAGTTAGTGCACCCAGTGGCGTTGCCTGGGAAAGTTCTCTCTGGTCACAGTGAATTTTTTCATAAAAGAATTTTTGCTCAAACCTCTTTTTTGTGTGATGGCAAAGTTAAGAGAACATCGCACAACTATGCAATTTTGTTTCCTGCTCAGGAAAAATGCCAAGAAAACTGTTGTGATGTTGAACACAGTTTACAAGTACAGCACTATGGGGGGCGGGAAATCAAGTCTATGAGTGGTTTTCTTGTTTCAAAAAGGTGAGATGTCGATTGATGGCAAGCCCTTTTCTGGATGTAAATGTCAACAAAATTCTTCCACTTGAAGACTGACGATGGACCGTGGAAGAGATGGGAAAGTTGTCTAGGTTATCTAGGAGCTTGTTTCAGCAAATTTTAACAGAAGATTTGGGAATGAGAAGGGTCATTATGAAATGTGGGCCTTCGGTTCTTACTGACCAGCAAAAAGAGCACTGACTGAAAGATGCTTTGCTTTGACAGAACAGCTCTGAAGCTTTATTCCCAAGGTCATTAGGTGATGAGACATGGTGCTATTCTCGCAACCCCAAAAGCAAATATCAATCAAGTCAGTGGAAGATACCCTCATCACTTTGCCCAAAAAGAGCTCATGAAGTGAAATCAAAGATTAAGACGATGCTCTTTTTTTTTTTTTTTTTAATGTGAAGGGGATAGTACATTTGGGGTTCATTCCACTAGGTCAGAAATCTAGAAATCTAAATAGAAATCAAGCTTTCTATTTAGAGGTTCTGAAAAGGTTGCATAACAGTGTGTGACAAAAAAGACTTGCTTTGTGGCAGATGAGGGACTTGTTTTGCCACTATGACAATGCACTTGCTCATGCAGCCATCTCAGTTGCCAGTTTTGGTGAAAAACAGCATGCCTCTCTTGCCCCAGGAACTTTGCTCACCTGACCTTGTTCGATGCAGCTTCTTTTTGTTTCTGTGAATGAAGAGGGACATGAAAGGAGTTATTTGATGAAAAAAAGAGGTGAAAAGAAAAAGAGGGAGGTACTGTCAGCCAAGCAAACAGATGAGTTTGAAAAATATTTCCAAGAATGAAATTGCAGATTTGACACCTGTATTAAGTGTAATGGAGAGTGCTTTGAAGGTGATAAGGTTGTTTTGTAAAAAAAATTACATAGCTTTGGAAAAAAATTCCATTTTGGTGGGGTACCCCTCTGTATACCAAAAAACATATAGCACAACTTCAAGAAGGTGACCCCCAATGACATAACACCTCTGAGGTAAACCCTAGCATGAACAAACAATACAGAAAATGTTGAAAACCAGATCAGGTCCAATGTGCTTCAGAGGGGGAATCACGTGACAAAGTTTTAACTGTTCACATCATGTTTGCCCCTTTGACCTTCTGTGCTCATCTCTCCAATGCACTCTGCTTAGTAACCACGTCCCTCCCATCCCTCTATTCTGGACAGAGGGAGATCACATGAAGCTTATTTCCTTTGTAGTTCCCACAAATGGATCTTGGGCTCCCACTGTCGTCCATAGCCTTCTGCAAACTGGATTCTCACAGTTTAAGCTCTACTACTAATTCCTCCTTCAGTTTTGGATTATATAAATTACAGTTCTTCAGTGACTCATGATGGTGTGCTTCTTCCATGTGGACTTAGTTGGCATCTTACTTAGATGGCTGCTTCTTTGGAGACAAGCTTTTAAGACCTTAGACCAGCGGTTCTCCACCTTCCTAATGCCGCGACCCTTTAATACAGTTCCTCATGTTGTGGTGGCCCCCCAACCATAAAATTATCTTCATTGCTACTTCATAACTGTCATTTTGCAACTGTTTTAAATCGGGCAACCCCTGTGAAAGACCCACTCGACCCCCAAAGGGGTTGCAACCCATAGGTTGAGAACCGCTGCCCTAGACAATACTTTATTGGATAGCCAGGGACCGTATAATTCTCCCCGTTTTGCTATACCAACCATATCTTCTGTGTTCCCTTCTTGAGGGCAAGTATCAAACAGACCATGATGTAAGAACTAATTGTTCTTAATTTGGAACTAGGATTTAGTATGAGCCCCAAACCCATTCCTGGATCTATATTTTGGGGGTTTTTGTTTGTTTGTTTTTTATCTGCCTCGCCTGACTTATTTTTCCCATCAGTATCCCTCATCCCTCTGATAAGGTTGTCTACCTGTCTGGGGGAACTCATCATAGATTTACATGGCAGCCATTCAGTCGACAGCACCCACTTCCCATCCCTTGACCATTTGATCCCAGCTGACATGAGGCGACCCCCAGCAAAGTGATCTTCAAAATACTTACGTAGAGTGCATGTTGTATGATTCATTGGCACTGGTCAGGCTCTCTGGTCCCCTGGCCAGCAGACTGGATCCCCTATAAACCTGAGCTTGTGCCCATTCTGCTGCTTATTCCTACAGCAGTGGACTCACACAGTATTTGCCCTTTTGTGATTGACTAACTTCCCTCAGCATCATGTCTTTCAGATCCCTTCATGTCTCAAGGTGTTTCAGAGTTTTCATCACCATTGTTTAGGGATGCATAGTATTCTATCATGTGTATATGCCAAGGTGTTTTAAATCCAATCTTCTACAAATGGGAATTTAGACAGCTTCTAACTTCTTGCTATTGTGAACTGTGCTGCGCTGAACATGGAGGAGCATACAGCTCTTTATGATCTATTTCTTATTTCTTTTGGATATATGCACAGTAATGGTATTGCTGGGTCATATTGTATTTCAATTGCCATCTGTTTTAGGAATCTCCATATTGCCTTCCCAAGTGGCTTTATGTATTTACAGGCCAGAAGTGAATAAGAGTTCTGATCTCACCATATCCTCTCCAGCATTTCTTGTTCTCATTTTTCTTTTTAATTGGGCTACAGTTCTGGGTGTTAGATGATATCTCATGGTTGTTTTGAATTGCATTTCCCGGACAGCTGGTGAACAGTAACATTTCCTCATATGTTTATTAGCCATCCGAAGGACATCCTTTGTGAATCATCAGGTCAGGTCCTTTGCCTACCTTCTCAAAGGATTGTCAGTTTGTTCCTTGTTGTAGGCTTGTAATATGCTGTAGATTCTAGTACTTAATCCTTTGTTCATTATATCATTATTAAATATCTTTTCCCAATCTGTGGGCTCTCTTTATATTCTTTTAATGAAGTCTTTCAATGTACATAGTGTTTTATTTTTAATGGGTCCCACTCATCTATTTTGTCTTCCATGGACTATGTTTCCTTTGTTATCTCTGATAGCCCATGCATTCCCTGAATGTGGGCACTTAGATTTGTGCCAACTTTCTCATGGATGATCCTGATTGCTTCGTGTTTTACATTTAGGTCGCTGATCCACCTGGAGCCTGTTTCTGTGCATGGGGTGAGATATGGATCTCATTTCA